AAAGCCACGTTAAACAATAATGCTAAGGACGCAAAATTAGGGGAGGTTTAAACGCACCTTTTCATAAGTCAAGAGACGGAATGCAAACCCCAAACTATATGGAGCTAAAGTGAATTTTCCCAAAAGAATAAAAAATTCAAAAATATTGAGGAAGTGCTGTATATATCTCTCCCTAACCTCCTACCCTTCTACCCTCTCAAGCTCCACCACCTTCGGCCACCACCTTTGGGGTCCAAAACTCCAAGCACACAACGCAACCGAAGAATTCTGTCTCAAATCAGATCTCTTTTCTAACATTTTCAAACCTTCTGTTTTTCATTTTGTAAGACCAAATTCACCTTCCTCAAATTAAGGTTATTATTTTCCAATTTATTAATGTAATCGAAATAGTAAAACAATTTTTTATAATTTTTATAACTTATTCTGATTTTAGTTCAACAATTGAATCAAAATCTAATCATGTTTGTTCCTTTCTTCCTCATTTCACTCATATAGCTTTTTGGCTTCTCTCATTCTCTTCTCCATGTTTCTTTCTTTTCTTTTCTTTTCTTTTTTTTTTCTTTTTTTCTTTTTAAAATGATCTAAGAAGAACTCGACACTTATGGCTTACAAAAAGTATAGATCTTACCTTGTGAACTCATTCTCGACGGTGAGATGATGCAACGTTGCCATCACGATCTTCTTCTCCCATCATTTTCCTCTGTTCCTCTGGGTAATTTGGTCAAACCAAAAACCAAAATAGATCGGTCCTCAAACCAGTACAGCTGAAATTAATTTGGTTCGGTGAATGGTTTACCATTTTTCTCCACTAAAAGGTTAGTTAACCGCTATTGTTGATCGGTTCGGCCACCAAACTGTGACCGATACCCACCCCTACAATTTCTCAGCCCGTACCTAGAATCTTAATTATTGTCTTTATCTTCCTTAAGTGCCAATTTCTGAAAAACCTTTTTGTAGATGTAATGTGCATGAGGGCCGCTACGTGGACGTGCTTACGCCAACTGGCTGTGCATCACTGGTTGAAATATATAAATTAATTTTCTGGAGCTGGATATGAGAGTTTTGATTCCCTATTTTCCACGCCATAAAGAACAAAAGGTTATAAATATTCGTTTTTTCTTGGACCTCAAACTCACGTTATTTGGTTTATGTGGTTTGCAGTTTCAAAAATGCATTGTATGATCTAAATTATATATTTAATTGTATAATATAAATTTGTTTAGCTAATAGTTCAGCAAAAAGAATGAGAGAGAGTGTTAGAGCGATAGGATGGGATTCAGGCTATGGTCACAGGGCGCGGCATCGACGGACAGCACTGGGTGGTGAAAAGATCAGATTCCAAGAGAGAGGTCGGCAGTGGGAGGGGGTGGATAAAAGACAACTTAGCTGGAATGGAAACCGATATGAGCACAGAGAGTGGGAGTATGACAGAGGACAGCAGAAAGAAGGGAACTGGAGTAAGCACAGGCAGTGGGGGTATGACAGAGGACAGTATAAGCAAACTACAGCCTTCTTCTTTACAAACATACCGGAGGACTGGAGTTACTCAGATATGTGGAGAACGTTTGGCAAGTTTAGAAGAGTATTTGATATATATAGTCCTCAAAGAAGAAGCAAGAACGGAAGGAGGTTTGGCTTTGTCAGGTTCCTCAATGTAAGGAATACTAGGGAGCTTGAGAATCAGCTTGATCAAATAAAGGTGGACGGACTTAAACTATGGGTAAATCTTGCCAAATACCCAGAGGGGAAAGTTAATGAGGTAACAGTAAGGAAAATCATCCCATCAAAAGGAACTGTCCATGGGAAATCATACGCTGATGTGGTTCGAGGACAAGGAGGGTGTGGACCCGTGAAAATAGTAGAGAAGATACTTGTGAGGCCCATGAAGCATGATGAAGGAAATATCAGAGCCCATGCAAGTCAGAAGCAGTCGAAGACCGAGCAAGTATGGAAACAGAAAAACAAAGGAGAAGAGTGGGCAGGCCTGGAGTTTAATGTGAAAGAAGAAGAGTTTCAATGGCTGCAAGGATGCTATGTGGGAATTGCTCACTCAGTGGAGATTGTACCCAATCTACAAGAGAAGCTCTACATGGAAGGGTACTTCTCATGTAGATTAAGAGCTATGGGGGGAAAATTGGTCCTTATGGACGGGGAGGACAAAGATGAAATTAAAGACTTAGTGGAGGGAGCCTCAGAGTGGCTTGGTCAATGGTTCTTTGAGGTCAAACCGTGGTCACCCTCAATGGTAACAAAAGAAAGGTTTGTTTGGATGAGGTGCCAGGGAGCTCCTTTACATGCTTGGAGCCCAGAATTTTTTGAAGAGCTGGCATTAGTTTGGGGAAAATGTATATGCTTGGATGATAGCACAAGCAAAAAGAGAAGGTTTGATGTAGCAAGATTCCTATTATCAACATCAATAATGGATACAATCTCCGTTCACAGGAAAGTTAAAGTCAATGGGGTTATATATGAGTTGAAGTTCTCAGAGGAGGAATTGACAAACAGTCTCTTCTCACTTAAGTATGATTTCAAGCCGTCTTTTAATAGCGACTCAAAGCTTGATGAGTCTTGGTCGGACGCCTCCGATTCTTCAGCAGGTTTTGATGAAGATAACGGTGGAGCGGAAATAGGGGGTGAAGCTGGTGAGGATATCTCAGGCAGAGAAACGTTTCCGAGCAAGGAAAGAGGAAGTAGGTTGGCTGTCACTTCAAACTCAGAAGCAAAATTTGAATTTGAAGGAAAGAGCATTAATGAGAATTGGTCAGAAAAGAAAGGGTAGGCTTTCTCATAGCAGATTAGGTGAGGAAGAGTCCGTTGATGTTGTTGCAGATAGTTTTGAAATGGATATGAAAGAGGATGACGCAGGGGAGAGAGTTGATTTGGGAATATGTGTATTAGGAAGTAAGGTACAGAACTTCTCAAACTCAAATCCTGCAGCAAGTTTGGGAAGCTATGGGCTGGGCACTCAACCCAATAGTGATCCATTAAATGGTCATGCTACAAAGGGGATTTGGGTCGGTGAAGGAAGATCAAAAGAATACTGGGCCGGTGGAAGAAGAAATGAAAGTCCACAAAAGGGGATTGAAGTGAGGCCCGACAGGGGAGTTAAAGAGAAGCACTCATCGGAAAAAGTAGAAAAAAAAGGCACGATGGTTCTGGAGAATGGCAGCTCCTGTAACAGCGAGAGGGGTTGCTCAGAAGGGGGCAGGGAAGTGGTGTCGGGCGCAGCACAGAAAAAAGATAGGAAAAAGAGGAAGAAAAGGAGCAAATCGTGCACATCAATTTATCAAAAATCAATTCTTTTGGGATTTATGAAGCAGAAGAAGAAAAACAGGGGCAGATGTGGTGCGAGGCAATCGGAGGAAGAAGCAGTGCCGGTGTTCTTGCCAAGCACAAGCAACTCAATAGCAGGCGGATCCGTTGGCGATAACGGTATTCAGAACTGCAACCGACTGCTCAAGGAAGCCCCCAACAAGCTGATAGCTAATGATATATGGGAGTTCGCGAAGAAGATAGGGGCAGTTGCAGAGGAAGAAGATTCGGTCATCAAGAAGCTTGAGGAGATGGAGAGGAGAGATAGATCAACAAAGGAGAAAGAAAGCTTAAAGGGGCCGAATAAGGATCAGAAGGTGAGTGCTGTAGTTAAATGAATATATTGTCAGATAATGTTAGAGGACTGGGGGTTGCGGGAAAGAAGAGAATTGTTAGAGAATTAGTGTCTGGAGAAAGGGTGGACTTCCTAGCTATCCAGGAGACTAAGAAGAGTGGAATAGATAGAAAATTTTGTAGTTTGCTGTGGGGGTCAGATGAGTTTGAATATGTGGCTAAGGATCCTACAGGATTGTCAGGAGGTATGGTTTGTATATGAAATTCTAAAGCACGCAGAATGATAAAAGTTTGGGAGGGAGAGAATTTTATCGGGATACAAGGGAGGTGGGTAGCAGAGGATGTCTGTGTTAATATCATCAATATTTACTCTCCGTGTCAATTAGCGGGTAAAAGAAGTCTATGGGAAGATTTAAAAGATCTAGTTCTGCAGACAAGAGGGCTATGGTGTCTTGTGGGTGACTTCAACACGGTAAAGAATGTAGAGGAGAAAGTGGGAAGCAAAGTAATAACTATTGAGATGAGGGAGTTTAATAATTTTATTATGGAATCTGAACTGATTGACATACCATTAGTGGGCAGAAAATATACATGGTATCATTCGAGTGGAAAGCTGATGAGTAGAATTGACAGGTTCTTAATGTCTGAAGAGTGGTTGAATAAGTGGGGGGAGGCAACACAGTGGGGTCTAACCAGAACTGTATCTGACCATTGCCCAATCCTCCTTAGGCATCAAAAAGTAAATTGGGGTCCGAAACCATTCAGATTCTTCGATGTCTGGCTAGAGCAAGAAGGGTGTCGAGAGGTGATAAGAGAAGCATGGAGAAGGAAAAGAATTCATGGGTGGGCAGGATTTCGGATCAAAGAAAAGCTCAAAAATACCAAAGAGGCTGTGAAGAAGTGGAGTAGAAATTTTGCCCTAGAAATTGAAAGAAGAATAACAGAGGCTACAGCAGAGATATCGCAGCTAGACGTGAAAGGGGAAACAGTCTAGCTATCTGAGGACGAGATTGAGAGAAGAAGACAAGCATTCTTGGTTTCGTGGGAAAATATTAGACACAAGGAAAGTATGCTGCAGCAGAAATCCAGGAAAGCATGGCTAGTGAAGGGTGATGCAAACACGAAAGTCTTCCATAATTGTGTGAAGGGGAGATGGAAGAGGAATGAGATCAACAGCATTCATGTAAAAGGGGTTCAGATTACAAAAGCTGACAAGCTGAAAGAAGAAATTGCCTCCTTTTTTGAGGAAACATTCACGGAGGAGAAGTGGAGGAGACCAGTGGTAGAAGGACTCCAATTCAAACAAATCTCCCCAGCAAATAATGTCTTTCTCACTGCACCTTTTTTCGAAGAAGAGATCAAGACAGCGGTTTGGGACTGTGAAAGTTCAAAAGCACCGGGTCCTGATGGATTTAATTTTAAATTCATCAAGAGCGAATGAGAGACAATTAAAGGGGATGTTTTTGAATTTCTACATGAATTTCAAAAGAATGGCAAACTTGTGAAGGGTCTAAATACATCATTCATAGTGCTTGTGCCAAAAGTAGAGAATCCTCAGAAAATTGAAAAGTATAGACCAATTTCACTGATCGGGGGATATACAAAATACTTGCAAAGTTGCTTGCTAACCGGCTTAAAAAGGTGCTGGCGAATATGATTGGTGAACAGCAAATGGCTTTTTTAAGCGGTAGGCAATTAATGGATGGGGTGGTCATAGCAAACGAGGTCTTAGATGAAGCAAAAAAGAAGAAGAAGGAGGCGTTTCTATTTAAGATTGATTTTGAGAAAGCCTTCGACAAAGTTAGCTGGAGATTTCTCTATTTCATGTTGAAATAGATGGGTTTTTCAAATACATGGAGAAAATGGATAATGGAGTGCCTAAGATCAAGTATGGTGTCAGTTTTGGTCAATGGCAGCCCTTCCAGACAATTCTCTATGATCAGAGGTCTTCGGCAAGGGGACCCTCTATCCCCATTATTATTCTTGATAATTACAGAAGGGATTAACGGGTTTATTTTGAAGGCAGCAAAGAAAGGTTTCCTTGAAGGTGTTGAAGTGGGAAATAAAGGCTTCAAGGTCACTCATCTTCAATATGCAGATGATACATTGATGTTTGGCACAGCTACTGATGAAAATGTATGGGCTATGAAGAGCATCTTGAGGACATTCAAGCTGATATCGAGGCTAAAGATAAATTTCAACAAAAGTCAGCTCATTGGCATTGGAGTAAAGGACGAGTGGTTAGAAAAAATGGCATGGATATTGTGTTGCAAAAAAGGAAGCTTGCCTTTTAAGTATTTGGGGATTCCCATTGGGGGAAGAAGTGGGAAGCTCTCATTATGGAAACCAGTGCTGGAGGGTGTGACCAAAAAATTATCCGCTTGGAAGGGGAGATACCTATCCTTAGGAGGAAGGATCACTCTCATTAACTTAGTGCTGTCCAGTCTACCCGTGTTTTGGATGTCCGTGTACATGATCTCGAAAGGTACGATTCTACTTCTCGACAAAATTCGTAGGAGATTTTTATGGGGAGGAGTTGAGGGGGGAAAGAAAATAAATTGGGTTAGATGGGATAAGGTTTGTAGGGATAAAGACCAAGGAGGTTTAGGTGTAAAGGATTTAAGGAAGTTTAATCTAGCTTTGCTAGGGAAGTGGTGGGGGAGATTGGTTAACGATGAGGAAGGACTATGGAAGAAAGTTTTATTGCAGAAATATGGTAGGGAAGGGGAACCAAGATATAATTGGTTACGAGATGGTAATGGTTTTGGGTCAAGATGGTGGAGGGATATTTGTAGGCTGAATGTCATAGATAAAGACAATGGGGGTTGGTTAGCAAAGGGGTTGAATATTAAAATAGGAGAAGGGGGTAGTGTGAAATTCTGGTGGGACGATTGGAGTGGGAAAGGATTATTGGCTAACAAATACCTCAGATTGTACTTAATTTCTGCAGGTAAAGACAATTTGGTTTCACAAATGGGACGGTGGCTAGATGGCAGTTGGATATGGAATTTGCAGTGGAGGAGAAGGTTATATAGCTGGGAAGTTCTCGAAGAAGCAGAAATCTTGAAGGAGATCCAGGAAACAACTATCATGAAAGGAAAAACTGATGTATGGGAGTGGGTTCATAGCAACAATGGGGTATACACAACAAAATCTGCTTACAAGGCACTTACAATGGAGATCCAGCGGGATCAGCCAGGAGTGAACCTTCAAAAAGTATGGATCGCAATAGTGCCAAGTAAGGTCTCAGCATTTTCATGGCAACTTCTCCAAGATAAAATCCCCACAAAGGCAAATCTGTTCAAAAGAGGTATAATTCAAAACATGGAGGAGTGCAAATGCGAATTCTGTGGGTATCAAATGGAGGAAACCAGCCATATATTCACGCATTGCAAAGTTGCATATGATTTGTGGAATGCTTGCTTCAGGTGGTGGGGAATTAGAACTGCGTTGGACAGAGAAGGGAGCAAGGTATTTCAACAGCATTCTTCGGGTCTCAAAGTGGCAGAAATAAGAGAAGGATGGAGATGCATATGGTTAGTGGTGGTGTGGACAGTGTGGCTGGCAAGGAATGACAGCATATTTAAAGGAAAAGAAGCTGACAAGTGCAGGCTACTAGAATTGGTTCAGCTAAGGTCCTTCAGCTGGAAAAATGTAGGGAGAAAAGCCGTCTTTTTTCTTGGTCTGATTGGATCCAGGACCCGGTATCTTGCCTTAGAGACGTTGCAACTAGAAAAAGGCCAAACAGGGGGGCAAAACCTGAGTAAGCAATGGATTCCGTAAGAAGGGACGCTTAATTATCTCTTGGGTCATACGTGTTTTTTTTTTGGTGGAATTAGTGCTGAGTAAGCACATATTCCCCTATAAATGGTTTGGAGTACACCTAGTACTCGTATAATGGAAATTATCTTTGCTTTTCAAAAAAAAAATAAAAAAAATAATATAAATTTGTTAAAAATTAATGAATTTTTGGTATTCAAAACAGTTCTTTTATTTAATATTTTTTTATAATTTATTATAATTTAAATTATAAAATAAAATACTCTTTTAATTTTTATTATTACGTAAGATAAGTCTTCGATAATTTACCGAGTTGATCTATTTATTTTAGTTTACATGGTATACATAATTATATAGACTTTTAATATTGAAAGTAAGGAGAGTCGAACCCATCTCTAAAGATTCAATATTAAAGAA